GCTAATTGAAATTGAAAAATATCATATCCGCGCGGTAAAGCGGGCGCGTGGGAAAGTTCTATGCCTATTCCGATTTCTGCGAAAATTCCCAGAGCTTTCCAAGACGAAGTTGCGAATATTCATGCAAAAGAAATGACACGTCAAATCCCGCTTATTCTGGAATTCCTAACTGTCGACCCAAAGTCCTAGCGTGCTGTCGGAGAGCGGCGCGCCACGTCAACGTATAGTTGACTCGTCGCGATCAGCATCCGCACTATAGAGTTGCTTGTGGTCGCGATCAGCAGACTGTTGACTTGCTGGTTTGGCCCCTTGGGTCGAGTCAGTAGGCAAGACGGCACGATGGTTCAGCCCCATGGAGATCGAATCACGACTTTTTGGCTGAACCGCTGTGTCTACAAGGGCCAAATTAGTAGGCCCCAGTCCGAATGGCACTGAAAACAGACCAAGGGTTAGTGAGAATTGACCACAGGACCGGACATACCGCGTCGGGAAGAGTACGGCCCGAAATGGTCAAGGGGGAATACGGGATTGAACCCTTATTAACGTTAAGAGGGGTGTTTTGTTTTCAGGAACAAGGCCGACCCTTAGTATTCCAAAGTTGTGTCATTTTAAGCCCGACACTAATTTTAGTACTGGTCCGTCCTATTTTTAGCGTAGGCCACGCTATTCTTAGCGCAAGCCTGGGTTATTTTTAACGCAGGCTCGTGCTAAATATAGTGCAGGCCCGCGCTATTTTTATCCCAAGCCCCGTGCTAATTTTAGCGCTCTCCCGCGCTAATTTTAGCACAGGCCCGAGCTATATTTAGCGCAGGCCCATGCTATTTTTAACTCGGGACTGACTGTTCGTGTCCCAAAGTCGGGACAATCCCAGTCCCGCGCTAATTTTAGGTCAGGCTCGATCTATATTTAGCGCAGGCCCGTGCTATTTTTAGCACTGACTGTTCGTGTTTCAAAGTCGGGACTGTCCCAGTCCCGCTGTCGTGCGCATCGGCCCCCGCGCAAAATGAGGGTCCTCCCGGCCATGTCACGCAGGAGATTAAGCACTAACACATCCTAGAGACAACTCAGGGACAACGCATTTGACATTCCGCGAGCTGCTGAGACAGACGCGGTTGCATCGCTCCTTCGCCACTCTAGCCGGAAGCGCCAGCTATACATCCCGTGGTCCCCTACGACAGGACAGGTTCCCGCAGGGCATAAGCTTGCATCCCTAAGGGGTTGTCACCACCCTTAGGGGCGTATCCCTAACGAACAGTTGGCTAATCGAAAATAATATTCATGTTACCAACATGGTAGTCGGACAACCTCAGTTTTGACTTGATGAGACGCGTTGCCAAAGTCATTCATTCCATCCTATCGCCGATCTAAGATTCAACGCGCATACCTGTTTTCGTTCATTTCCAATTTTTTTGGATGACAAACCGCTTGCGCATGATTCTTGATCAGGGGCATTGTTTGACATGAAGCACGCCTCTTCCTTTAGGAAGTGGTCTGGGGTACTCCTCCTCCTCGTCCGAGCACAAGACTCGGATCTCAGAAGTCGGGCCGTCTCCACCGAATCGGCAAGTACCCCCCGTAGAACGGTCCACTCTGGGTCGTTAACAGGGTCGGCTCCTGAAGCAACGAACCCCCGCCCCAGATGCTTCCTAGAGATGTGGATGCGTCCACCACAAGTAACTTTCATATATTTTTCTATTTTTCCTAAGTCCCGGGGTAACTTAAACGAAAAGAAATCAGAAGAGATAAAGATAATGAGAATCATTTAGACAGGTACAGGTAGATAAAGGTTGTTCGGGATAGAATGGGTCAATCCTTGGGAAAAAGCTAAATTCGTTTGACCTTTTCTGCTTTATTTCAATAGAATTCATTTTACGACACACGTTGAATAACATTTTTCCAAAACAACAAGTTTTTTTTGACAAGCAGGCAGGTGAAAGGTTGAAAGAAGACAATCCGTTCCTTCATCTCAAATAAGCATAATCAATCTTCTTTGTAAGCATCCCTCTACCTACCTGCACAGACCGCAAAGGAAACACGTTCAAAAGAAAACAATACAATCCCATACTCGAGTTAGACTTTTTCATTCACATGCATGACTTGCACAACGTTCCTCTACCTTTTCTTTTGAATATTCAAAACGAACAGGGTCAAGCAAAGTGCGGGTCCACACAGGCGTTAAAGGAAGTCTGAGTCATTCAACTGACCTTGCGTGAAGTGGTGCCGAAGAAGCGCCCTGGCTCACTCAAGAAAGCCAACCAACAAGCCGTGTGTGCTGCCGAAAGTTGTAGTCTCAAGGAAAATCCTAATCAAACCTCCTCTTACTCGCACGCCTCACCGGCGGTAACCCAAAAGTGAAAACGGTGAGTCGCACGCGTCCCTGAAAAACACTCAATCTGGTACCATGTAAGTCCTAACTGGTCCCAAGCGGTCCCAGATGGTCCCACGCGGTTCCAGGTGGTCCTATGCTGTCAAATACTTCGTCGAATGACTATTGAGTCGAAAACCGTTTCCGCCACACTTCTAAAAAAAATAAAACCGGTGTCGAATCTCAAAACCACATGCGTCGAGACTACCACAAATGACCGCCCACGTCCCACGCTAGTCCCAATTGAATCCAGGCAGTCCCAAGTAGCCCAGTCCCACTGCCGCAAGTGTTGGGTAGTCCCAACTACAAAATATTTATCTCATGTGCCGCATAAAAAAATAAACCCGCTTGTCACGCTCAGATTTCGTACTGTCGCATGCCGTCAACCGCCACCATGTCACGCTGCTACTGCCGTACACACCAATGGTAGAAGACCTTCACCAAGAAAGCACACGCTGCGCTACAACAAAAAACCTTTCAGCGCCGTAAAAAAACCCTCCATTGCCACGCCGCACGTCCCACTGTCGTGTTGCAGTTCCACTGCTGTGCCGAACTCTCGTCGGAAAATGGCAGCACGTCGTCTCGCCGTGCCCCGTAGAAAAAAAGAAAATGGCAGCGCTCCGTCGTGTCGTACCACCGTAAAAAGACGGCGGCCCTTCGCCGTGCCATACCACCGCAAAAAGACGGTGGCGCTTCGCTGTGTCGTACCACCGTAAAAACAAACGGCAGCGCTTCGCCGTGTCGTACGACCGTAAAAAAAACGGCAGCGCTTCGCCGTGTCGTACCACCATAAAAAGACGGCGGCGCTTCGCCGTGCCGTACCACCACAAAAAGACGGCGGCCCTCCGCCGCGCTGTACTACCGTAAAAAAAACGACAATGCTTCGTCGTGCCGTACCACCACAAAAAGACGGCGGCGCTCCGCTGCACTGTACCACCGTAAAAAAAATGGCAGCGCTTCGCCGTGCCGTACCACCGTAAAAAGTCGTACCACCACAAAAAGACGGCGGCACTCCACCACGCTGTACTACCGTGCCGTGAAAACAGCAGCGTCACTCTTCAAAACAAAGTGTCGTCGACGTGCCGTGAAAACGGCAGCGTCCCCCTTCAGAATAAATGTGTCGCGCCGACGCCGCGGTATTTTGGTTGCATAACCCCAGAAAAATGGGTTATGGTTGCCGAAAATATCGGTCGGCACACCTCCATCACTTGTCGTGCTCCCCGTCGCTCCACTGCGGCTCCTCACCATGCTGCTGCAGAGTCCCCCTTGAGACCAGTCTGCCAAGGGGTGGAGCAGAGTGCTCCAGCCAAGGCTATGGCTGTCTCCTCCTTCGTCGTGCTCCTGCGCAGTCCTCCAACTCTGCCGACAACACTCCTGCCTCCTCTCCAGCACTCCAGTGATGAGGCAAGTGTGTTGTCGCACGCTGGCAGCTGGAGGCAAGTGTGAGGCAGCTGGGGGACAACTGCCTCTTTTGTAGTGGTTGAGGAGGGCAGCAGCAGCCTCATCTGCCCCCAGGCAAAATTCGTCACTTGCCTGGGGCCATTGATCTGAGCCAGATCAACGAATTGAGGCTGTTTCACCTCAGCCACACACTTAGGGTGACAGCTGTACTCAACTGCCCCCCTCTTTTTCTCCCTTTTCCCTGCACTCAGCCCCACACTGAGTGCAGGTTCAGCGGGAAAATGGTTGTTTCCAGCCAAGTTTCCCTCACTAACCCTCCGGTTCACAGCCTCTGGCCTGAGTCACATTCAGGCCAGTTTGGCCTGTATCTGATCATAGCCGTGGCCACATTCGTGGCCGCGGCTTTTATTTTTTCTTTTTCTTTTTCTTTTTAATTCAGCTATCTTCGGATTTTCACGAGATAGCTGAATTTATGGCATTTCCAAATCTGTTTTTCTTTTGTTTTTCTGATAAGGGGCTGAAAAGTTACAGCCCCTTTCAGTTTGATGTATTTGGGCACTTTTCCCAGTGCAGATACATCAAGGAAAAGGTTGTACTTAGGGTCTCGTTAGACACTCCTAAAAATGCCGGTTTTTAGGATTGCGTCCTCGTTGCACACAGTCCTAAAACGAAATCGGAGATCGAAAATGTGAAAACGACGTTAGGACGAGTCATAAAAAATTTAGGATTCCCGAGGCAAAATCGTCCTAAATTTTCCAGTAGCCCCCCACCTACTGAAAAATTTAGGATTCCCGCATTTCACGGAGTCGTTGCATCGCGCGCATGACACCGTCGACACTCGTTGGTGATCCAGAAGTGGTCCGTCGAGTCGGTGGTTGGACATCGGAGGTTTTCTGCGGCTCGACGCGGGCAACGGCCACGCACGGTAGCCGTTGGCAGAGGGGGTGGAGCGCGGAGGGCCGAGCGTCGGCGGGTGGTTGCCCGTACTGGACCGTTGGGTCGCTTGCGAGATGCGGAGTGGGACGTCGACGTGCGCAGGACGACAGACGGAGCCGCTTTGGGCAGCGCGGGCTGCAACGGTCGAATTTCAAAAGGAAGGCGGGCGTGTTCGTCGTCTTCTGTGGTGGTTGTCCACATATGAAGGTCGAGCGCCCATGTCCCGGGCATGTCGGAACACACATCTCCAGTGGTCACGTGCGAGGGCGGTTGCAGAGGTGAATTTCATGGCTGACGTGCGGAGGAGATTGCCTCTGCTGGTACTCGTTGTCGTCGTCTTCCTGATTGTCGTCTTCCTCCACGTGTGTTTTTCGTGGCGGCCGTGGAAACAACAACGCAAGAGGAGGGCTTCGACGAGGCGGGCGGTAGGCGAACGTCTAATGGCGGGCATGCACGCACGACTGGCTACTACCGCAGGTCAGGGAGGAGTTCGATCTTTTGCGGCGGAGCCTCGAAGGCGGTACGACCCGTCCATGTACACCCATCTGGAGTCGTGGGACACGCCATTGCCCCCGTCGGGCGAGGAGCCGGAGAAGGAAGAACTTTCAACGTTGCCTCTCACTAGCGGCTCGACTCAGTTGTGGTCGCAGACGGTGCGAGCAGGCGGGTCGGCTCCCGACGAAGGGGGCGAGTTCACGTCATTGCTGCATCAAGGCTTGCGGGGCGACGACGGCGGAGGAGTTGATCTGAGGTTCGGGTTGTGTTCTGGCGGCGGCAAGGAGGCGAGTCGTACGTTCATCATCGACGGAGATCGTTCGGCACGTGGCGTTGAGCATGGTGAAAGTTTGCATACGGAGCAGTCCACACTTCGTCCCGCTGCACCCGTGACTGGCGCGGTCGGGCCATCGCCAGCGGGACGGCAGCATAGATCGACTGCTCCGTCCGTCCATCGATTGACACCGACCTGGCCCGCACCCCCCGGGGTGGCAGCAGGGCCCCTGCGCATGGGCGGTGCACGTTCGCTGATGCCTACGTGCACAACACCGATCGAATCCGGAGTGAGGGACGAGGGAACGATCAGAGCGCCGGTACGTCCACGACCCACTGTGGAGAACATAACACGTGGAGTGTCGAACATGTGGGCACACAGCGATGGAGGCAAAGACGACGTTGGATTCGGTGACGACGCAGACGAAGGGATGAGGGAAGACGTGGAAGCGGGGGACGACGACGACGACGTTCCAATTCGGCCTTTGGGGAAGACGACTGGAAGGGGGAGAGGACGCGGCAGAGGTGGTGTCCATGGTCGATCCGTTGGCCGTGGAGGCAGAGGTGGCGTAAGTGACGACGCCGGGAAGTCTCCGACGACTGGTCTGCAGAAGACCAAATGCTCCTGGTGCGATGCAAGCGGGAGCAAGATATGCACCTCGCCGACTTGTCTCACAATTACGGGCGGATGAAGACGAAAGAGTGGAAGTGGGAGGACATGTCGAAGCGGATGGCGAATGCGGGGAGGCCGAAGGATGCTGACGACTGCATGAAGAAGTGGGACAATCTGTTCTAGAACTACAAGAAAATTTAGAGGTTTCAGAATGCCAGCGGGCGGCCAGATGTTTTCAGGCTGACGAACGAAGAGAGGAAGGAGCACAACTTCAAGTTCCGGATGGGCAGGGCGCTGTACAACGAGATCCATGTAGGCATGGTGGGGAACCACACGATTTTCCCTCCCAACATTGCCGACACCGGCAGTCCGGATGGGGTGCAGCTGCCCAGGCGAGGAGCGGGTGGCGAGGAGTCTGTTTGTAGTGAGGCGGCCGGTGAAGGCTGCCCTGACGAGCGTTCTTCTGCGAGGGAGTCCGACAACAACGTAGGCAGCGGGGCGGGAGGCGGGAAGCGGAAGAACGCGTGTCAGCAGGCATTCGAGTCCATCTCTGATGTCATGGAACGCCATGGCGCACTGATGTCGTCGACGATCGAATCGTCTAGCAAGCGGCAATGCAGCATCTTCACGAGGCAATGCGACATATTGGAGCAGGACGTTGCCGTCCAGAAAGCGCACTATGCGGCGTCCGATGAGACGCAGAGGATGATGTGCCAAGCATTGTTGGAGATCGCTGCCGCCATCCGTGGTCGGTCGGCCATGTAGGCCATTGCGTGTTGTGTTGATCAAAGTTGGTTCTTTGCCGTCGTCATCGAGTTCTTTTTTTTTTCTTTTTTGGTTGTGAATTTTATGATGTTGCCATTGGCGATGCTCGTGGACGGCTGCCGCGGAAGCAATGCCAAGTAGTCGACGGAGAATTGGGGGCGGCGAGAGGGTGGGGTTTCATGCGAACTTGGCGGGAGATGAAGGTCGGGTCCTGCGGTCATGACTAGAGGGGGGGGGGTGTTTGTGTGTGTGTGTGTGCGTGTGTGTGTGTGTG